ATAACTGACGCTCGGCTTGGTTTTACGCAAGACTAACAAACGACATAGGTAATCTTTGGAGTAAAAGCAAGGTAGAAACATACAGAAAATAAAACAAGCATATGAATGTCTTCTTTCATACCTGGAAAGGCATTCGTGAACATAAACCAGGCAAAGCAGTAATAAGGTAGACCATGAGGAAGCAGCTGATACCGAAGGAGCATATGAGGCTTAGATAAGACATTCGATTTAAAGACAACCAACGGTTTGTAGTGCCTGTAGTGAAACACTTGGATTCGCTGAACACGTAAGAGTCCATAAAAGATAAGTACTGATTCCATTTCTGATCTAGATGGCAAACAGACTAGCTAACCATCGACATGTCGGAGGTAATGCAATATTCCATGTTCAATGTAGAACGCTTTGTGATGTATTATGGCCTTAGTTTGTAGCATAAGCAGGGTCGAAATAAAGGCTAAAACTAAAGCATGAAAAACAGTTCTTGAAAAACTGCTTTCGTTTGAGTAAAAACATTACAAAATATACGGTAGTATTTCGCCAAGAATTTCCAACAGCTGTGACTGTAACGATTCTGTGAAGGCTTAAACAATCATATTACTCGTCGCCAGCAGGTCTACCTCAATCAGGTGCATTCATGTTTTGCATTCTACTCATACAACGAGTCTTAGAAATACTCCTGTTCAGATGGATACGTAGGCCATATCATTAGTACCTTCATAAGAGTAACACCGTGTGGGTCCAATAACGACAAAGCTGATCGAAAACAAGCATAGTTTGTTAAGCCACGTGAAAAACAATTTGGCGAATGCGCTGGGAATATGGTTCACACATGAATGCTACAAATGAAGAGAAAAAATAAAACCACAGAAAAATTTGCGTGATGTACCAAAAAAAGATACAGACTTACAAGAAGTGACCGAAGACCTGAACAAAAATCAGGAATGTGAAAGAAACTGACTCACACAAACGAACTCTTCATAAAGGAAAGCGGCTGCGACGAGAAAGAAGATAGACGGAAAACATTACACCAAATTGGATCAGCTTTCCTTTCCTTGAGAATTGTAGACGGTAGTTGCAACTGCTTTCGCATGGTCAATCCAGAAATCTTTCATCTTGAATGGAAACGGTCAATGTCCCTTCAGATGAACAATCACCATCCGTTGTTCCGTGAAACCACCTAGTGGAGGAACCGGCTTATTGTCCCCCTCCCAATCGCAACGTCTCAGCGATGCCGAGTTCCATGAGTAATTTGCACGTGCAACGCCCCCAATTAGCACTGGCATAACGACCCCCCTGTCTATGCGGATTAAGCGTAACTTGTGACTCTCTTTGCAGTGTTTGTTTCACGGTATCGATTCCGCAGTGATCTTTGACAGGCGCTTCGTTACATGTCAAAATGAATAGCGGGTCAATACGTGTGCTGCTGCCCGCTATTCCGTTATGCAAGGTTGCGTGACCGGAATTTACGCTAAGGAAACCACGTACGTCATAAGCCTCATCGCCATCGAGAGGTGCGTAAATGAGCAAATGTCATTTTCACAATTTTATGTAATCAATGACCTGCCGTCGGCGGAAGTAATCTCAAGACAAAATCGAGACAATGGCAGCGAGGAGTGACGAGTTCAACAAGGACAGCTGGAGCCAAGTTTAATGAGGTACTTAATTTTTATGGCCACGTAGAAGAATTACTCAAAAACACCGCGCACCAAACACCGTCATCGGTATGTCGATCTTGAAGTTGATGAATTACATACAGGCTCGCTATCAAAGCTGCTACAGCGACAGCCGACCGTTGCGTCAACCGCTGAGGTGTTATTTCTTAAGGGAGCGATTTCTTGAAATCGAATCTTGGTCGTCCGCTGTGTATCAATCGGGAATATGGCATACGGTCATTTATGTGAGTGTGAAGACCAGAGTTGTTTGGCCGGTAGAGAGTTAATCTCGGAAAGAAGAAATTCCAGGGAATTGGAGACGAGGTAACTTATGAGTCACTCGTTCGTCTTTCCTCCTTTCGAGGTCGACAAACGAATGGCGGAGTGGCATATTATAGTTGTTCCAACTTGCACAGAGAGTATAAAGAAACAGCGAAAAAAGAAACTAAAGCATATTTTAGCTGATGACACAAAACGGACATCAACTGCTCCCAAAATCTACATAAATAACGAGTGCCATTGACGGCGCAACACAACCATACAAGTAATGGAATCTGCTATCCCAACAATTAGAGACTTTCTTATGATTTCGTTTTGACTTTCAGACAACGTCCTGGTCGAAGCGATGGAATATAACCAGTTTCAGGTCACGGTGGAACACGCTTCCACTCGATCATTTTTTTCGCCGTGTCTGAAAAACCCATTTCAACAACACGCAGATCTAGCTGTACAGTTAGTCAAAGATTAACAAGTCTGATAACCGAATAAGAAACAGTTCACCTATGCACATCGCAATGTAGTCAATCGAATGAATTTGCCAGTATCGACATTTCGATCTGTCTCTCACAGTTCCTAAAGATAGAGAAGTGGGTAGGCTTTAGAAGTTCCTTTGTCGTTCAGAGCACTTCGCAGTTTCGAATTCAGAAACTCGGCTACTTAACCGTTAAGAAGTCAAAAGTTCACCTCCTCACTATGAACTACTGCGAACGACAAAAAGGACTTCCGAAGCTAACACACCTCCTGTCTTGATGATCATTGAGACACCATCCAAAAACGTCGGTACAGGTCATTCATCGGATTTATCACATTTTTGTGCTATTTTTGCAGCATGACCAGTAACGAAAGAAACAAATATTCGATTTTAGGTAAGCAATCTTAGTCTTAGATCTGCACAATTGTACATTACAAAGCCTGTTTGAAAAACCTTCGATTCTTCAGTCATATACTCTGGCTGCCCTTGAAGAAATCACAAGAATACATAACTTCTTCGATGCCTGCCGTATATGACTGAAAGAAGATACGCCTACTTATTTCATTAGGCACAGCAGGAAAAACAATAAATCTATTACTTGACAATGATTCGATCTCTGAAACACATTTCAACTTTGTCTTCTTCAACAAATTGTCAGTTCAACATTGATACACATAAGCGAAAAGACAGATAAATTAAATTGTTAAATTCGTTGCTGAAGCGTAGTGATACAGTGTCAAAAATGTCTGGTTTAAACTCCAGATGCTGTGTTCGAATCCACTGAAGCGAAAGCTTGTCCCAACCGCAAATTGCGTTAAGCAGCGAAATAACACCAAGTCTTTTTCGATACAACCAACCCAGAAACGGGTG